GTGTGTTCAGTGTTGAGGTGACCGCACTTTATTGCCCAGAGACTTGTTTATCTCACGGAAAAAGTCGAAACGATTCCACCACCCAGCGCTGGCGAAAATGACCTTAGACTTGATCCCCACGGCTTACACACGCACCAACTTTAACTAACACTGAAATATGCATAATTTTACCTCCTTCAAAAACCCTGCTGGCGTCAAGTTACTCACATAATTTTGGTTTTCGGACAGCTTCCTCTTACCACAAACCTCAAGGTTTGCACACCTCCTAGGAGTTCGGACTTGACGTTCGCATAAATCTGTTGGCAGCACTTGAACATGTAAGCCTAGAAGCATATGATCGCTGTGAGACCTTATTAGCAAATAAACAGACATTAAGTTGTTGTTAAGCCATGTGGCCATACACAAACCGTAAAGAGGTAGCTGTTTTATCATGCCTCAAAGTAAATGCTTGATGTGCTGAGACGGATACAAATAAAGTTCCAAGGTCTGGGAGAATGACTCAGTCAGAAGTGGGAACTTTCCACACAATCGTATCTCCGGAGGGTGTTCATACGGTTATCCGTCTTCGCACTTGCCAAAGGAATCTTTGTAGTTGTACTCTATTGATAACACTTTTGCAAACAGTTATAGTCCATATAATACCAGGTTACTGGCCTAAGTTATGGTGAATCGCCTCAAATGGGCGCAACATTATCCTAGTTACATCCGGACAGCGGGGAAGTTAGCAACTTAAAACACTTTCTAAAAAGGCAAACGTAAAATTCATGGAGAAGGAATGAGGTGACCGCATACCCAGGCTTGCGTATGGGTACGGCATTTGCAGTCCAAAATATTCGTGAAGCTGGGCAACCTATTGAATGGCTTGCGGAATACTGATTGTAACCTGAGGATCAAAGCTAGAAGAGTTGAAACAATATAGAGTAGCATATGAATGCACGCGTGGCAGAAAAGAGCTGAATATGCTAAGGTAACGGATAATACGAATGTCAACAAAGGAAATAAAGCATAACCACAGGTGCAGTACATACCTCATAGTTCTTATTAATACTGAAGTTGGTACTTAACATTATCCAATGATCACGAGGGCATGAGAAATAAAATATTTGTCTCTCTCCAATGTACATTATGCATGGAGAGGATTCGATGCAATCATAACTAAGTTGGCGAGACATTTATCAATGTTCAAGCCTTTCTTGAAAACGCCACAAAATAATGACTGAGACAACACGTACAGATAGGAAGTATACATAAACCTGACGCATTTATCCCAACGAATGTAGTACGTGAAGTAAAACAAAATACTGTTTGAAAAGCCACAATAAGGTAGATTATGCTGTTTCCCAGTCTCTGAGCTAAAAGCGATGTGATCCGGGCGACCCAAATAAATGAAAGATAGCACTTATTGTAAACGATC